CGATTTTGTCTACCATTGTTTTTCATTGTTTTATGGGTGCATGCAGTTTTGAGGCTTGACATATTTAGGATTCTACTTACTTGACAAAATGTCATCTTTTATTTTTTTACCCAAAAAAAGGGTACAGCATGCAATAAGGTTGTCCACGATAAAAACGGTAAAAATGGCGAGCGCACAACTGTTATGGAATGTGGTAAGAGGAATAGATCTGTTTAAAATCAATTTTAATGTTAAACAATTCTGCAACAATTTTGAAACAAAAACAAAAGTTAGAACAAAATTTAAAAAATTAAAAGATGGGGTGAGCCAGCTTCTTGTTCAGGGGGAGGAACCCTGTAGACATATGTAAAAAGGAGGGTGGAAAGAAGCGCTGCAACCCTGGGATATTGTGGGGATGGTATAAATAACAACTTTAAAATCAATACTGGACTGAAAACTCACTGTTTGGGCGGACAAGATGAGGTCTTGCAGATCAGGAGAAAAGGCTGTATGGATCGCTCAGCAGTGTCTCGGGCCGATCGGTGTGGATGTGATGAACGGGCTACATCGTCGAATAGGCAGTGCATGAATTTTCACTGATGATTATTGTACTGCTGGATGGACGTAGTAATGTCCTGCCGGTGAGAGGTATGGGTTTGGAAGTGTCTGGTTTGGTCCCCTGGTGATGGAGGAGAGATGGTAGTGACAGCTGGGAAGCTCCTGTGGCTGGAGCGCAAGAAATCTGCCGTCCTGTAGCCTTGTTTGTAAACAGGCTATGCACTGAGGGTGTTCGTGCCGTCCAATACCGTGGGGAGTCAGCTGGCCAGGCTGAGACCCGACGGCTGAACGGGAGCGAGAGTGCCGCTCTGTAGCGGTTTGAAAAACTATCGGCAGTCGTTGTGACAGATCGTTTTGGAGACAGGCACAGGACTGGAAACCAGTGCGGTCTATCTCGCTGGGTGATGGGAATGTCAGTCGAGCAGTTTGGCTACGCGTTTCGAGGTTCAGGACCTCTTTGTAAAGCCAGAAGTGGTTTACTGCCTCTTTGTCAAGCCAGAAGTGGTTTACTGCTTCTTTGTCAAGCCAGAAGTGGTTTACTGCTAATAAGGTTGTGCGTGAATTTGTTGTAATAAACATATAGATTTGACAAACTATTGATAAACATAGATTTCATAAACCTTGTACAACATAAAAAATGCAATTACCATCATTTTATTCCATAGACGCTATGCTTTCAGACAATATTTATAATGTTTTGAGGCTTTCTAGTAATCTCTAGGTCAGAAATTGGCATAATATATATATATACTGTATATATATAACAACGAGTATAACAGTACAATGCATTAACATTGCAATAGTAAGAGAGCAAGAGTGTAGAAGATAAACAGAAGAACATTACTGCATTTTATTATAGATAGGATATAGCCCAGTTAACCAAAAAAAAGAAGTTAAATGGGACCCTTATGGGGAGTAGTAACATGGAAAATCAGGTTAGTAAGTGCGTATTAAAGGGCCTGGACTGGAGGTAAAGAGTTCAATGTTATAAAAAGCAATAATATGATAAAAAAAGTGCAGTACGAGGCAGGCAAGTTCTTCATAAAGAGAAACAAATCAGTTAGTATAGAAATGTATTGCCATCAGAAAAAAATGGCAGTAAAAGGTTTAAACATAATTAATGTGACAAAATTAAAGTAGCCAACCTCCAGAAAGGACAGTGCCAGCACAAATTCAGAGATGATTTGAGGATCTACAGCCGAGTGATACACATAAACCTTGTTAACAGGAAGGATACCTGAATGCATTTTTAAGATTTAACTCTTGAGTTTAGTGTCACTGTAAGTTTAAAGTGTATTTCCATTTTTGCAGTCAAATTTAGGAAAACCCCTCCATATGTTCGTTATGTGTTCCTATTCACATAGCATACTGAAAAATAACTTTTAAAAATACATTCTTACCTTTTAGATGTTTTATTAAATCAGGCAAGATGGCTGATTCCAGGTTTTTCTGAGCCCGTTCACAGTGGTCTGTCCCAATAGAAAGTCTTGGGACTGAAATTTTAGGATTTTGTTTATTTGATCAGCTTCATTACCTTTTAATGGACAAGACCCCTCACCCATCACAGCCCCTCCTAACATTTCAAAGAAATAGAAGCAAGAAGAAAAGTGAATCCTTTAAACCCTAACCCAAGTAAAAGCTAATTAAACTGCAAGAAGAATTTTTTTTCCCTTTAGCTTATGCTATGTGAATGGGAAAATGTATCAAATATTAAATAGGTGTTATCCTGATTTGGCTGCACAAGTGGAAATACTCTTTAAGTTAAGAGACTTTACAATTAGGACACCTGAGACGTGGTCACTGAAGATGGTGCTTAGCACTCTATTGCGATTGTTATAAATTAGGGATTCCAAAGCGTAATAGCCATTTGCAACCTTAGTTATGTCCGTTTATATTTTTCATCAGTTTATTGATATCTTGACAAAACGTGCCAGTGCTTTCAGAAAACAAATACATTTGCTTCTGGTTGAAGGCATTAGTTTGGATTGCTTTGAAAATCCAGCACAATGTGGGGTTTTTCCTTTTTTTTTTCCCTTTTACTTTTGGTATTTTTGGTTGTGTGGAGATCATCAAATCTCAAAGCTAGAGCTGCGTGTGTGTCTAGTCAAATAATTTTTTTTGTAACTTTTAGGGTTTAAAATTTCACTATTATTATTATTATTGTTATACAGGATTTATATAGCACCAACAGTTTGCGCATTGCTATACAGTATAAGGAAGACACTGCAATCACAATACAATTCAAGACAAGAGGGCCCTGCCCCTGAGGGCTTACAATCTAAAAGGGAGGGAGAAGTGATACATGAGGAGGTAGCCGTGTGGGGATGAATTTTTTGAGAATGTGATGGTTCAGTGGTTAGGTTGAGGTGGGATAGATTTCCCTAAAGAGATGAGTCTTAAGGGATTGCCTAAACGCAATCAGAAAATAATCTTAGAAAAATGAATTTGGTTGGCTAATGGCCCACACAGATGCTTCACTTCTGATTGATTTGAAAATTTGCATCACTGGAACACGTCACTTTTGATTGATTTAATGATCAAGCACAATGCAGCATTTTTTTTCTTTTTTGTGTTTTTGATTGAGTGGAGACTGTCAAATTACAGAGAAAACTAGAGTTGTTTGTGTGTTGCATCAAAAAATAATAATGAAAAAAGATTGTATTGGTTTGGTTTAGAAAAATTAATTTGTGTGGCCAGCAAGCAAGACAGTACTCTTGTTATGGCTGGTTGGGGGCATGTATATGAACTGTATTTGTGTAAGTAAACCGCCTAACCAGTACTGTTTAGAGCTGACATCTGTGTTCATTTTAAGGGATGGTATGAAATAAAGATTCACTTGATAGTCATTTGCGTTGGTCCAATTAGCCTTAATACACTCTTCCTTCTGTCTAAAGCATGAGACACACGATAGCACATAATCTCTGTGTAGTCTAGGGAAGCTGATTTAAAAGACAAACCACCAATAAAAAGGAAGAAACCTTTGCTAATTAACTGACAAATGGATAAGTTTCACTGCTCATATGGAGTCTCTAATCTGAAAACCTTGTTTAGCATAGATGAACACACACACATGACCCCATAACATTAAAATAGTACGTTATCTCACTTCTGCATTGGGATGGGACTGCTTATTGGTTATTTGTCTTCTAAATTGAAAGTGTTTTTTTCTTAGTGTTTTTACTGTTCATAAACTCTGCCTAGCTTGAAAGTAGTTGGCAAGTACAATAATAAATGTGTTTTATCTGTGCATCAAAATTAGGTTGTTTACTTTGGTGTTTTTTATTTTAAAAATGTACTTGCAAAAGTGTGCTTATTTGGTAATCAGATGAATATGGAAGTGCGCTGGTGCATTGGTAGCACATCTGACAGTGCAGTGACGGCTATATGTGTTCCCTTACTCTGCTGATCCCTGTTTTTTTTTTCTTTTCTTTTCTTTTCATGACAAGGCCATTAAAGCTTAGATGCTCAGACCAAATTTAGCACAATGACTGCATCAGTTAACTTGACTACAACTCTATGGCTAATTTGTCAGTTTGGCAGCAGAGTCAGAGAATCAGAAATGTGCACATTCCTAGTTCTCTGCTGCGTCATTAACATTCTCACAGCATGGAGCATTGTGCTCAAGGACTTAAAGTGGACCTTTACACTCAAAAATCAAATTCTACCAATGCATCCCTCTATGTATGATGATTGATAATAACATAGACATGTCAGGTATAAAATGCTGTGATTTATGAAATACTTACACTTGCAGAGCATTCACTTCCTGATTTGAAAGGGCAAAATTACTTCAGTTTGGTAAAGCAATGCACACTGGGATTGCCCTGTCATCAGCAGACCATTACTAGGAAATCCCATCTGTAATCCCATGACATCTCATGGGAAGGCATTTAATTCCCCTGAGATGATGTGCATGGTCACATCATCTCTCCGTTTCAGAGACAAGGCAGTCTGCTGCAAAACAGAAGTTCTGCCCAGCATGAGAACAGATACAGTGTATTTCTTCCAACAGTGGAGTCTACCTTTTAGGGCCGGTTCACATTACAAAGTCTGCGTTCCAGAGCTTTCGTTCTCTGGAGCGCAAGCCGGTCGGCTCCCTGCGGGAGGGAGCGTGGCGGGGCATTGAAGTCATTGTCCCCCGCACCTGGAACGCAGGCACATTATTTACCATAAAATACCTGCTCTTACGTTTCCTGTGCTCCTCCAACACCTCAGTCTAATCTGCCAATTTAGCATCCTGACCCTGATCCTGGGGGGAGATTGCACACTTGTCTTCCATGCCTGAAGTGCTTTCAGTTCTTTTAATCAGTTGTGGCCTGGTATTTTGAGATAGCTGGGGTGTGCCTGAAAAGTAAGAACATGCACACAATGGTGCTTGCTGCAAAGCAGTGCTAATACTTTCATACTTCAAAAAAAAGCAAGTTTATTAACTGTTTCCCTCTTTGACATTGTTCTTTGTGCAGGTACCAGAAACTGTGGAAAAGTTATGTGAAGTTGCGCCATCTACTGGCCAACAGTCCAAAAGTCAAACAAGCAGATAAGCAGAAATTGGTCCAGAGGGAGGTAAGCTTTATTTTTACTCACAGAGAACAATTAATGAGGCACAGTTTAGTTTTCACTCAGCATTATATGCTGTGCTGTCACTTAACACCCCAAGGAATATTCCTTGCAACGTACTCGACATAGAATTCATATGGAAGAACATTTTTTAAACGAGAACAGTTTTGCCTTTCAAATCACATTGTGTTTCCAGTATTTTTGTCTCGGCACATAGATAGGTATCCAGTTTCCCTCCAACAGCATGTATGTATTTATATTATATTAGTATTGTTTTAGATCAAAGAAGGATCCAATTTAAAATCCATATTGATGTTGAAAATTATTATAATTTTGAATGGAATCATTCAGAAGTAAAATGTGTATTGGACATAAATCATAACAAATTTGCAATTTGTTAGTATTTTTTGGGAAAAAAACCTGATATATCAATTCTCTTTTAATTAGTCGGGGTCATTTGCACTGAGCAGGTGTCACAATCACTCTGCAGCTTCCTTGATAAATCCACTACCTTATTATGTTTGCTGCCAAAACAAGTATTTACTTTAAATAATGGTATTGATTATAAATCATAGTATAAATTATTTTCAACTGTATTGGATAAATAATAGAATGATTATATCCAAAGGTGGGGGAACAGAGGATTGGATAGTTCCCATTTTTATACATTCTGCAGTATCATATGTTGACATAAAGGCAGAACAGACCATAGCAAATGAAACAGCAACAAGTGTGTTGTCTTGTCCTTTAGTTGCATTAGAAAATATGCGTGCCTAAGGTTGATTGATCTAACATGATTACCACTACCATGCCTTTGAAACATGTGGGTCTTTTCTGGCTTTAAAGTAGAACTGCCACCAGAGTTGTTTTAATTTTTTGGGTGGAGAAAAGCAAGGTTTGAGCCTTCATATAGTCCGTCCCCCTCCCCAGCAGTTAGATCTCCTCATCTAAAGTCCATTTCTTTGGATGCATCCTTCATCTATGTTCATAAAGTGACACCAGAGTTCTTAGTGAATCTGGCAGTTGCTTTCTCTTTTGTAATAGAGCTTTAATGGTGTTCCATGGTCCTATTTGTAGTCTTGGTGAAGGCCATTTTTATCTTGGAAAGTTTAGAGCCCTTCCCATTTCATAGTACAATAATCTCCACGAGAGAAGCGTATCTGCCTGCAAACTCTAGATGACAGCACAGTAATAAAAATTTTGTAGGTCCACTATGTCAAAAAGTTGGTTCTTATCGACAAAGGTGATATAAAGCTTGGGTCCAGTATTTGACCAGAGCTCTTCTAAACAGTGCAAACAGCTGAAGATCTGTACTTCCTCAACAAATAGTTTACTGTAGATGCACATACACCAACGCCATCTTATTATTTTAAAGAACAATACAACTATCCTTTGTACAAACACTTTTAAAAATGAGTTGGCTTACAGAATATTGCCACTGAAATGTAACTCAGACAAGTTTGTTCAATAAGCCCTAATTAAACAAGAGCATATGATAGAGAAACTAAAAAAGTTATATCTTCCATGTGGAAACAAGGCCAAGCAACTCACTTGTGCAATAAAAACACAAGACTTAGTCTGCAGAAAAATGGCAACAGGTACTGGGGCTCTATTTCTGCACATGAAGTTGGGGGTTTGATCAAAATGAATGGTCTCCTCAACACTAAAAAGTACAGGTAGATACTTACCCATCATGCTGTACCATCAGACAGGTGTCTTATTGGTCCTAAATAAATCTACAGCAGGACAATGACCCCAAACATGAACAAAAAGCATGAAAAATTATCTTCAGCGAAAAGAAGAATCAGGAATGCTGGAAGAGATGGTATGGCCCACACAAAGCTTCGCTCTCAACATCATTGTGTCTGTCTGGCATTACATAAAGATACAGAAGCAAATTATACAACTTAAATGAACAGAAGAGCTGTGGTTATATCTCCTAGATCTCTGGAACAACCTACCTACCAAGTTCCTCAAACTGTGTGCACGTGTACCTAGGAGATTTGATGCTGTTTTAAAGGCAAAGGGAAGACACACCAAATATTGATTTAGGGTTTTTTTTTTGTTTATGCGCTGTATAGGTTGATAAATAAAAACACCCTGAGGGCCAGAACACGCGGTACGCTGCAGCAGTTATAGTCAGAACACCCAATCTGCATGTTTTGTTCTCGGTCATTGACATAGAAAGTGTTGAAGGGTAGATCTACAGTGGCAGCCTTCATTTATTTCTCAGCATAGGCTTTCCTTAATAATTGGCAACCCATTTTTCAGTCCCTAACTTGGTAATGACTATTACCATGTTTGTGCTCGCATCATTTCTACAATAACTTAATCATTAATTTTCTTGCACATCAACAGGACTCAGAAGAATTTTAATCCATTTGATGTGACAAATGTTTGCCCTTTTGTTTTGTCTGTGTTTTATATGAGGTTTAAGCACTACACAGAGAACACTTTAGTGCCCTACTTTACTTGGGTTTTAAGACTCAAAGTACACTGCATGTATCCATAGATTTTAAGACAATTGCTCTTTGCAGTGCTATAGTAATATATACAGGGAGCCTGACTTATGCTGGTTTTGTGTTTTTTTTAAGACAGATTTATTTGATACAAGCTCCTCTATGGGCTGTTGACATATTTGTTTTTCGGAGACTTCACATGCTAACAATTTTCCCTTCATCTAACTAGGAAGCCCTTCAGAAGATCAGACAGAAGAACACAATGAGGCGTGAAGTAACAGTAGAACTCAGTAGCCAGGGTTTTTGGAAAAGTGGCATCCGCTCGGATGTCTGCCAGGTAAATACGTGAACGCTCTAATTAATATTAATGACTCAAGATGTCAAAGGCCTCTTTGCTTGTCTCATCTGCAGACATGATTTTCCCTTTGCCTCAGTATATACTTGTGTAAGCACAATAGCTGCGCTAGATACTACTGCCTGGTATACTACCATGGAACAAAGTGTGTAAGAATAAGTAGAGAAGACCACATGATGCTTCAGTAAAAGAGAACCATTTCACACCTTTGTGGCTGCACAGCAATTATCAAACTCACACCAACCAACGTTAATGGAATTAGCTAATTATTTTGATTTTTACTTTGCAGGCAAATACAACCTCACACTTTTTTAAATCAAATATCACTGTATTACACTAAAACCAAGCTCTCAGCTTTTATTGAAGTCCAGCTACGGGGATGAGAAAGCATGGGGCTGGGGAAAGCTAATGCAATGCGGCTTGTAATATAATGAGTTAATTTGCTAAAACCTTGCATTGAAAGGATTTTTTTCAAGAACATTTTTGTTTCTCAATGGCTTTTCATTTCAAGAAAAAGAATGTAACTATACAAAATGTATATTTAAATATAGTAAGATGAAATAAATGTAGTATTATGTCCCTATGTCTGCATCAACCAGTTTCTTGGATTACATGGAGAAAATTACGTAGACACATTAATGTTTCTTTTAAGTGAAATTTGTCACAAAGGTGAGATTACTTGGTAAACAGAATGTTTTACAAATCTTATACAGTTGCTTTTATCAAAGAGTGATGTGATGCCCAGTAGTGTCAAAAAAATGACTTTTGTAATGTTATTAGAATATTCAATTTCTTGATTTATATGCAGTCAATATTTTAATTTTAAGTGGAACTTAAAAGTGCAGATTTGCTATGTTATGGTGAACATCTTAAAGGTAATTGCTTAAGTAGTTATTGTCCTGAACAATAATAGTGCATTTCCCATGTCTTCACTCTCATAGCTTTTTATCTGCAGTGTCAGATCTAAGAAACTGTGTGCCTGACTGCTAGCCTCACAATTAAATTTAAAGTAAGATTACATTTAAAGTGAGGTTAGGTAATTTCACTACTTTGCTGCTCACTGTCCTCCTTGTTGGTGGGAAAACTGCAATGCCTGCTCTCCCGGTGTCAGCTTCATCATTGAGGATCTGTGGTTTCTGAACTACTGCTGCGGTTGCTTGCTTATTCCTCCATCAGTCGTTAGATTATCAGTCATCGGGGTGTAAACTCTGAAATGAGGATGCAAAGTCATGCCTCTTCCAACATGGCCCCACTACACAGAGACACAGAGCAGGGCATATGCAGGGAGACCACAGGAAATATTGGTGCCAAATAATTCAGCATTTTGCCTTTAGCTTTTACTTTTTAAACCATTCTATTCATGTAGTCACACGTTTTGCAGGATACTTCCATCTGTTCTGTTTCCATTTCAGCCATCCTTTTTAACACACTGCTTGAGCCATTGAGTTCAAAATCTAGGTGCTACCCAGCTCCCAGCCTTTATGTTAAGAACTTAGCTTCATAACTAAGCAAGCTTATGTGTTTGTTTTCTTTACAGTATGGATCTTTTCAGCCAGTAAAGGCTCCTCATGGGTGATCTGTTACTCTCCTTGTCCTGTTCTTGCTGACTTAAAAATGTTTACCTCAGGGATACAGCCACAAAAGTCAGAGCAGGACAGGAAGAGCAACAGTTCAGCTCTTATAGGAAGTGCAGATCCATTATCTGTGAAATGTGCATAGGCTGTGACAGACTCCGAGGTAAGAAATTATAAATGTGTTTGGCACTGAAAATATATAAATGTAAAAGTGAGGGAGAGGGGGAGAGAGAGAGGTATATATCTAGCTATCTATCTAGATAGATCTATCTAGATGGATAGCTAGATATAAAAATAATTTCAAAATGACATGTAAATGCAATCAGAATATTACATATAATTGCATGCAGGGCTGTGTTTATAACTAATGCTGTGCTAGGCACTGTTAAGTGATCACACCCCTTCATATAGAACAGAATCACAGCCATTTTCTTCCCACCCACCACATACTTACAGACACAAAACTCAAGCCAGTGAAATGTGAACAAAAGCAAACTGTGTTTCTTTATTATTTGTTGAAGGACACAATACTTTAGTAATTCTAAGACAAATAGGTCATATTGTGCTTTCAGGAGGTTGGAACACTGGCAACAGAAGACGTTGAGCAACCCCGTCTCAAACTGTCATGCTTCATTTCTGAGAAAAGGTTTATCTATATAGCCTTTTTTTTTTCTTCTTCAATCAAGAATTATATACCACAGATATTTTTTTCATCTGTGACTTAAGTCTTAAACTTGAGCTAGCCTATACATAGCAGCTATCCGGATCACTGTATCCTCAGCAAATGACTTTGGTGGCTGTACCCGAGCCCACTGGGCTGAAGATTGCAGGGTCAGCATGGAGTGTGACCTTCAGAAACTGGGATCTGCATTGCAGTGCTTTCCAGGACTTCTGTAATGCTCTTATAACGGAAAAGACCTCCCGAATACACTGGGTATGTGAAACCTTCCTCTATGAGGATCGGTAACAATCTATGGAATGATGGCTCCCTCCTGTCAATGTGAAAGTGTTATTTCTCTTTCAAAGGTGATTTACTGATGGTCTATAGACACTCCAATCATCCACCTTGACAACATACCACCAAACAGGTTGATGATATTCTTATCTTTAGGTGATTGCTAATAGGTGATTTACTTCCATGGAGAGTGGGATAATGTTAGTCCACAGGTCTTCATGGATCTGGTTACTAGAAGATCCTTACATTCCCTTCCTCTTCCCTATCAGGCTAATATTCCTAGTGTTAATACAAGAATTTCTACCCCTAGCTTCTTCACAAAGGATTCTGGCCTTTTCGGAACTAAATGTTATGATCCCTAGAATTATATATTCAATAAGGGGGTTAGTCAGGTTTGCATTGTGACTGTCACGCCCCTAAAACACCTATGGGTATGAGTATGGAAAGGACTCTTTTTTTTTTTTTTACTTCATCCTTCTGTTCCCACTGTCTTTGTATGCTGGTCTGCTTTTGTTTACCCCATTTTTCTAAGAATTACTTAAGTCCTGGATGCTAAAGATAGTTTGAGTCCATTGAGGGGCACAGGTCCTTGGTCATCTGTGTTATTGGTCTAATGTACTGCTTAATCAGAAAACTTAACGGTTTTTGTTTGCAAGTATCCCACATTTTTGAAGGTGGTAGTATAACCAATTTGTCTACAAATGGCTAAATTACTGTGTCCCTCAATGAACTCCAAGAAAAAGATTTTACTGTAGGTTCAAAAATCTTTTATTGTTTTGTTTATCAGCTCGAAGGGGCTGTATTGCTCCTCTTCACCGTGCAGCTTGCTGGAAGCTTCACTACTTTCTAAAAAGGGTTTCCTAGCCAGGCCATTCAAGTTCAATAAGTGCCTTATTTGTTGCTTTGGGAAGGAGCTTTTCACTTAATTCCAATTATGTGGGGGAAAAAAGAATAGGGATTCTACTGCTCATGCACTGACCAGCCAGGAGACTTTTCAGCTCCCAGGGGGCCACACAGGATGTACAAGAGGCAGGGGCCATTAAGTGTAGCCTTTGGATGAAGGTAGGTTTATTTTGCAATTATTTTCTGAGACTGCATTCATCTTTAAAAGGTTTTTTCATAGCCTTTACAGGCTTTTCTTAGCCATTTAAAAAAGGCATTTGTTTAGAGTGCTCAGTAGCCTAAGTTAAAAAATTACATACACATCAGAAAGTCATCTCAGGGAATCCCTTTAAGACATCTCTGAGGTTTCAGTCAGACAAATTGCGCAAAGAGAAGGGCTGCTTCTTATTTGATGTGTTTTTAGGTAACCCAAGGAAATCCTTTTTCATGTATGAAATGTCCATTAAACAATAGGCATTTATAAAACAGGAGTTTAAAAACCTATGCACTTTAAAATTAATAAATAAACCAGAATCTGTTAACCTAAAACTGCTATAACATCCCTCTAGAGTTAGAGATACAGGTCATCTTATTTCAGGTTCACTGCATGATTTGTTTCTTGGACCCAAAGGTTTCCAATTGGTGAATTCAAACACAACCGTTGTGATGGATTTGCTGATACATTTTTAATGTATTTGATTATCATGTATTTATAGCCTTCATGATGACGCATCTATGTTTATAAAGGCACCCCTTAAGATCTAGCAGTCAACACTATGTGGTTGGTGGCTCTAAGTCCTGATCACTGACTGATCATGTGACTATGATTTCAGCTTTGATATAGTGATCATGTGCAGGCTTAAGGCTTTATTTATTTATATATTTATTTATTACCAAAAAAAACCTTCAGCCTGCACATGACTATTGCTGCCTTGGAGCTACAGTGATATGTATAATGCCATCAGCATTATACCTAAATTGTTAAGTGTTAAAAGTAGGGGTGTTTTGGGATATATAATTAATTGATGTAGAGGGTTCTGCTTTAACCCACAGTCTTATTATCTGTCCTTAGAAATGGGAGTCAAAGCCTAACTGCATCTGTTACTTGTTTTATGATACAGTATTTTCACCATCTTTATAGAAATATCACATTGACTAAGTCATAAAAGAGATTTGCTTGTGTTATCAATGGAAATATTGCATGTGATAATTTTAACACTTGTTACAATAAAATTGTGTTAAAAAGTCGAATGACAAAAAATATCACACAGAGTAACACTCTTAAAATACTACTAGCTTCTCACTGGCAAGTTCTATGTAGTTTTTATTGGGTGTCTGTGAAAGATAGAAAATGAAGATGGTGATAAATACCAATACATGGGAAATAAAGGCTTTTTAATAGTTAAATTTTTATTTTCATGTGGAAAAAATCTAAATATCATTTCATTGTTTTCTAAACAAAAAATGATCCTTTTTACACCTCTTTAACATTGTGTATTAATGTTTACATGATAGAGGTTATCATAATTGATGATTTTTTTTTTAAATAAAAAAAAAAGGTTTTCATGTGC